AGGGGCTGGTGCTGGTGGAGGTAGCCCCCACCCCGGTGGAGGTAGCCCCCACCCCGGTGGAGGTAGCCCCACCACGGTGGAGGTAGCCCTACCCCGGTGGAGGTAGCCCTACCCCGGTGGAGGTAGCCCCGACCCCGGTAGAGGTAGCCCCACGCCGGTGGAGGTAGCCCCACCACGGTGGAGGTAGCCCCACGCCGGTGGAGGTAGCCCCACGCCGGTGGAGGTAGCCCCACCCCGGTGGAGGTAGCCCCGACCCCGGTAGAGGTAGCCCCACGCCGGTGGAGGTAGCCCCACGCCGGTGGAGGTAGCCCCACGCCGGTGGAGGTAGCCCCACGCCGGTGGAGGTAGCCCCACGCCGGTGGAGGTAGCCCCACCACGGTGGAGGTAGCCCCACCACGGTGGAGGTAGCCCCACGCCGGTGGAGGTAGCCCCACCACGGTGGAGGTAGCCCCACCACGGTGGAGGTAGCCCCACGCCGGTGGAGGTAGCCCCACCACGGTGGAGGTAGCCCACCACGGTGGAGGTAGCCCCACGCCGGTGGAGGTAGCCCCACCACGGTGGAGGTAGCCCCACCACGGTGGAGGTAGCCCCACGCCGGTGGAGGTAGCACAGCGTAATAGAGAGAAAGGGAAACTAAATGAGTGGCGTACAACACAAAGTACAGCGTGAGAGGTCAAGGTACAGCTCCTCCTGTACCGGGATGACAAATATGACGTCGTGGTGACATCATAGTCGTGTGTGCACCAACATTTATATCATGGTCAGGCCAGGCCAGGCCAGGCCAGGCCAGGCCAGGCCAGGCCAGGTCAGGTCAGGTCAGGTCAGGTCAGGTCAGGTCAGGCCACGCCAGGCCACGCCAGGCCAGGTCAGGCCACGCCAGGTCAGGTCACGCCAGGCCAGGTCACGCCAGGCCAGGTCAGGCCAGGTCAGGTCAGGTCAGAGGTCCTACTCGCTGAAAAGGCCTGGAAGTGTGTCCTGCATCAAGAAGTAACTTAAATATTTATCTTATCAATATTCTTGCCCACCCGGGCCACTGTGCCCCACCGGCTGATCAAGGCACCTTCTCTAGTCAGGTCGATACACACGACATCACAGGACTTTCAAGATGGCGGCAGAAATATATTTGATGGCCTGGCGGAAGTAAGGAGGAGGAGGAGGGATGTAAACACTCGGAGGCGGAACATACGGATGAGAAAGTATAGAATGGGTTACCGGCCGGCCCCAGGCGGATTGATGTACATCTCGAAGGTCGAAGTAAGGGGCAGGAATCCGGATGTTGTGCTGGTGTGTGTAGCTGGGGGTCCATGGCCGCGTGGGTGTAGCCTACACCAGGTGCTCATCCCTCCACCACTTCGACAACCTCATAGTTTACAGTTTTCCCTATTTATAGGCACCTGCAGATCCCCAGGTGACCATAGTTAAAAGGAACACTAGGCACCGACAGTAGTGTGTGAGAGACAGAGACGTGACTTTACATTCAGACACTTTGGGAGACTGGAAGCACGACACACTTTAAGTCAGTCGCTGCCCTGAAAGAATGAGACAGAGACCAGGAACTAGCGGAGTTCTCAGACATTTCAGGAGACTCGTCCAGACTGCTGGCATCAACAGCGATTTCCTACAATCAAGGGACCTCGCGGAAGACCATGAGAAACCACGAGGAAGACCACGGAAGACTGTAAGAGGCCACGAGGAAGTCAATGACAGACCACGACGTCTGGGTGACTCTTCAGGAAAGTGGCTGTGCATCTACAGGACGACCAGCTGAGGGAATACCAACTACAGAACGACCAGCTGCCGGAATACCAACTGCAGGACGACCAGCTGCCGGAATACCAACTGCAGGACGACCAGCTGCCAGAATACCAACTGCAGGACGACCAGCTGCCGGAATACCAACTACAGGACGACCAGCTGCCGGAATACCAACTACAGGACGACCAGCTGCCGGAATACCAACTACAGGACGACCAGCTGCCGGAATACCAACTACAGGACGACCAGCTGCCGGAATACCAACTACAGGACGACCAGCTGCCGGAATACCAACTACAGGACGACCAGCTGCCGGAATACCAACTACAGGACGACCAGCTGCCGGAATACCAACTACAGGACGACCAGCTGCCGGAATACCAGCTACAGGACGACCAGCTGCCGGAATACCAACTACAGGACGACCAGCTGCCGGAATACCAACTACAGGACGACCAGCTGCCGGAATACCAACTACAGGACGACCAGCTGCCGGAATACCAACTACAGGACGACCAGCTGCCGGAATACCAACTACAGGACGACCAGCTGCCGGAATACCAGCTACAGGACGACCAGCTGCCGGAATACCAGCTACAGGACGACCAGCTGCCGGAATACCAGCTACAGGACGACCAGCTGCCGGAATACCAGCTACAGGACGACCAGCTGCCTCCCGCCTCCGCGAGGCCCCACCGCCTTGAGAGGCAGCTTCTCCAGCCACGGATGAAAGCAGGAAATTATGGTAATTATGATGTACCTGAAGCCAGATTTCTCTGCGTCGTCAGCTTCCTTCGCTGTTGTACAAATATATATTAAAGAAACATGTAAGATTAGCAATCCTGCAAGTAAATGCCACTTGGAGAAATCCTGGAAAAAACTAGTTATTCAACAATTGCGTGCCTGGGGAAGGCCTTGAAATTTCAACATTAATAGGAAAACGTATCAGGAAAGCATTTTAAACTAAATTAATATTGGAATATTCTGTAAAACCAATTTAATACACGTTTGTGTATTGAAGGAGGAGAGAGCAGGGCGTCTTTAGAAAGCTGGTTGAATGCGTCTCTCGTAAAGTTACTGAAACGAAAAACAAGCTTGAGTTATCATTGTTGATAACTGGCAGGTCCTGGCTGGGTAGGGTAAGAATTCTCACCTAGTTGTACGTGCTGGGGTTGAGTTTCGGCTCTTTGTTCCCGCCTCTCAACAGGTCCCGCCTCTCGAAGTGGTAGTATAAATGTGGACTGTTCAACACGCTTCCACTACACATAAGGGCCATAACTGGCCGACCCTTCGCAGTGTTCAAGAGAGAACTCTACAAATGCCTCCAAAGAGACGTCCAACAGTTGAACAGCGAAGTTGCAGAATCTGTGGTGAGAGTGATGGACACCGCCTTGACCACTACCTGAGAGCCATCAGAGATATGTGTAGAATAATAAACCCCACATTGTTTGAGTTAGAAAAACACTATTTTTCAAATATAGATACTGTTCTGAAGAGATTCCCCCATTTTGCACACGCAAGATAACGTAAGATTTTAAGGGTTGATAGATGTTAATCATCTTGTTTGATAAGCTGTTCACTTGAGACAGTTAAGCAAGTCCCAGCTGTGTCTGGGTACAAGTGACAGGATGAACAACCCAGGGGGTTTTCTTCCTATTGGGAAGTGTTGTACATACTGCTATGGCGGTGTGTCCACTCACAGGATGAGTGGCACTGCCCAATACTGCCACTATGGTGGTGTGTCCACTCATAGGATGAGTGGCACTGCCCAATACTGTCACTATGGTGGTGTGTCCACTCACAGGATGAGTGGCACTGCCCAATACTGTCACTATGGTGGTGTGTCCACTCATAGGATGAGTGGCGCTGCCCAATACTGTCACTATGGTGGTGTGTCCACTCATAGGATGAGTGGCGCTGCCCAATACTGTCACTATGGTGGTGTGTCCACTCATAGGATGAGTGGCGCTGCCCAATACTGTCACTATGGTGGTGTGTCCACTCATAGGATGAGTGGCGCTGCCCAATACTGCCACTATGGCGGTGTGTCCACTCACAGGATGAGTGGCGCTGCCCAATACTGCCACTATGGTGGTGTGTCCACTCACAGGATGAGTGGCGCTGCCCAATACTGCCACTATGGCGGTGTGTCCACTCACAGGATGAGTGGCACTGCCCAATACTGTCACTATGGCGGTGTGTCCACTCACAGGATGAGTGGCACTGCCCAATACTGCCACTATGGTGGTGTGTCCACTCACAGGATGAGTGGCGCTGCCCAATACTGCCACTATGGTGGTGTGTCCACTCACAGGATGAGTGGCGCTGCCCAATACTGTCACTATGGCGGTGTGTCCACTCACAGGATGAGTGACGCTGCCCAATACTGCCACTATGGCGGTGTGTCCACTCACAGGATGAGTGACGCTGCCCAATACTGTCACTATGGTGGTGTGACCACTCACAGGATGAGTGGCGCTGCCCAATACTGTCACTATGGCGGTGTGTCCACTCACAGGATGAGTGACGCTGCCCAATACTGTCACTATGGCGGTGTGTCCACTCACAGGATGAGTGACGCTGCCCAATACTGTCACTATGGCGGTGTGTCCACTCACAGGATGAGTGACGCTGCCCAATACTGTCACTATGGTGGTGTGACCACTCACAGGATGAGTGGCGCTGCCCAATACTGTCACTATGGCGGTGTGTCCACTCACAGGATGAGTGACGCTGCCCAATACTGTCACTATGGCGGTGTGTCCACTCACAGGATGAGTGACGCTGCCCAATACTGTCACTATGGTGGTGTGTCCACTCACAGGATGAGTGACGCTGCCCAATACTGTCACTATGGTGGTGTGACCACTCACAGGATGAGTGGCGCTGCCCAATACTGTCACTATGGCGGTGTGTCCACTCACAGGATGAGTGACGCTGCCCAATACTGTCACTATGGTGGTGTGACCACTCACAGGATGAGTGGCGCTGCCCAATACTGTCACTATGGTGGTGTGACCACTCACAGGATGAGTGGCGCTGCCCAATACTGTCACTATGGTGGTGTGTCCACTCACAGGATGAGTGGCGCTGCCCAATACTGTCACTATGGCGGTGTGTCCACTCACAGGATGAGTGGCGCTGCCCAATACTGTCACTATGGCGGTGTGTCCACTCACAGGATGAGTGGCGCTGCCCAATACTGTCACTATGGCGGTGTGTCCACTCACAGGATGAGTGGCGCTGCCCAATACTGTCACTATGGCGGTGTGTCCACTCACAGGATGAGTGGCGCTGCCCAATACTGTCACTATGGTGGTGTGTCCACTCACAGGATGAGTGGCGCTGCCCAATACTGTCACTATGGTGGTGTGACCACTCACAGGATGAGTGGCGCTGCCCAATACTGTCACTATGGTGGTGTGACCACTCACAGGATGAGTGGCGCTGCCCAATACTGTCACTATGGTGGTGTGTCCACTCACAGGATGAGTGGCGCTGCCCAATACTGTCACTATGGTGGTGTGACCACTCACAGGATGAGTGGCGCTGCCCAATACTGTCACTATGGTGGTGTGACCACTCACAGGATGAGTGGCGCTGCCCAATACTGTCACTATGGTGGTGTGTCCACTCACAGGATGAGTGGCGCTGCCCAATACTGTCACTATGGCGGTGTGTCCACTCACAGGATGAGTGGCGCTGCCCAATACTGTCACTATGGTGGTGTGTCCACTCACAGGATGAGTGACGCTGCCCAATACTGTCACTATGGCGGTGTGTCCACTCACAGGATGAGTGGCGCTGCCCAATACTGTCACTATGGTGGTGTGTCCACTCACAGGATGAGTGGCGCTGCCCAATACTGTCACTATGGCGGTGTGTCCACTCACAGGATGAGTGGCGCTGCCCAATACTGTCACTATGGCGGTGTGTCCACTCACAGGATGAGTGACGCTGCCCAATACTGTCACTATGGCGGTGTGTCCACTCACAGGATGAGTGGCGCTGCCCAATACTGTCACTATGGCGGTGTGTCCACTCACAGGATGAGTGGCGCTGCCCAATACTGTCACTATGGCGGTGTGTCCACTCACAGGATGAGTGGCGCTGCCCAATACTGTCACTATGGCGGTGTGTCCACTCACAGGATGAGTGGCGCTGCCCAATAAACTCGCCCCTCGGGGAAATTTTAAAAACAAATTTAAACCTCCAAAGAATACCTGATCAACCAGGCTGTGATTCATACGTCAGGCTACGAGCAGCCGCGTCCAACAGCCTGGGTTAACCAGTCCAGTAACCAGGAGGCCTGGTCGTGGACCGGGCCGCGGGGCATCTTGACCCCCCGAAACCACCGCAATGTGGACATCTATCTTGTCTACCTTGTGATGTTATCGAGGATCAATGTTCCCGCGGCCCGATCTCTGGGCAGGTCTCCTGATTTGTGATCCCGTCTGACACCGGGAGATAAGAAGGTTTCCAAGCAAGACTCGGGATGCTGGGAACGATGCTGCTCTTCTCTTATATCTTCTTCCTTGGAGATGTGTCCGGAGGCTGGAGAGATGCTTGCCTTCAGAGCGCCCTCGCTACGGTGATGTGGGCCACGTATACCCCATTATCTACGCATGACGGGGTTTATGTTGGCGTGGTGGTGGTGGCGTGGTGGTGGGGTGGTAATGGTGGTGGTGGGGTAGTGGCGGGGTGGTGGCGTGGTAATGGTAGGGGTGGTGGTAACAACATGGGTAGCGCTATACCACCATTATAAGGACCTGTAGCAGCAACCACTATTATAATACTTGATAGTATATTATCACTGGTCTCTCATACGCATAACCCAGATAAATAAACACTCACCATGAACCCAGCTGCGTAGGTAACTAGGGGGACGGGGGGGGGGAGGGAGCTAGTGAGAGGGAGAGGGAGAGTGGGAGCTAGCGAGAAGGGGAGAGAGAGAGAGAGCTAGCGAGAGGGAGGGAGAGTTTGAGTGACATTAGCTGCAGCGGGCCCTGGTATAACCACAACGCACCACCAGCCTCATTTACCGGGATAGGGGACCGGGGAGAGAGAACAGTAACACTCGTACAGGTATAATATCCTACCGGGACCTGTGTAAGGAGCAAGCGAATGGTTCAGTCCAGCAACCAGGAGTCCTGGTCGACGACCGGGCCGCGGGGACGCTAAGCCCCGGAAGCACCTCAAGGCAAGGTAAAAGTATCCTGGCCTGTCTCTGAATAATACTGAAACCACTGGAGTGTGCTATAGGAGTAACGGGAGCAGTGCTGGACACTCTTAGTATTGACTTCACCTCAGTACTGAAGGGGAAGGCATATTGGGTATTTAAGGGCACTTGGGCACAATGGTGGGCATGGAGAACGGTAAGCTCACTGTGACTACGGCACGTACCATTAGAACACACGGGAATGGCACTTTGAAAAAATATTACTTTATTTATCAACTTAAAATTGCGTGTGTTGGGTAAATATTTAGTTATTCTGATTTGAGCGCTTTCGCCCCATGACAAAACCCCAGGAGGATTGATTGGGAACTAATCTATTTTTATCAATTTAAAAAGACAATTCCTACCTATATTCCGTAACGGGGGGAAAGATGATTGACTGATCGGTGGTGGGCACAAGAGCCGTACTTACTAACACGGCGAGTTCCTCGTTCCCTTGATGGTGATCTTCCTCCAGGAACGCCAGGAACACACACCTCAGTCCTCACACTTGTGTTGTCCCGTCTCGA